TGGGGCCCTTGAGCCCTTGACCAAGCCTTTTGTGTCTTAGAAATGGAGGCGGCCGCAGCGGCACCTTCTGCGCTTGCGCTTCGGTCCTGGAGATGATCCGCTGCCACAATCTGGTGGACGTTTTCTTCGCTGCCAAAACCCTTCGGAACTACAAACCCAACATGGTGGAGACCATGGTAAGGGGCGCTCCCGTGGCCGGCCACATCTGGGCCACATGGCACCCACCCCCTTGCCCTGCGGCCACGGGGAGGGGCCGGCTCACAGCCCTCCCTCTCCCCAGGGTCAGTACCACTTCTGCTACGCCGTGGCCCTGGAGTACCTGGAGGGGCTGGAGGCCAGATAGCGGCCCTGGGTTGGCAGCCGCAGCTCTCAGGGCCAGGCCACGTCCAGGACTGGCCAGGAAGACCCGGGCCTCCAGCTCTGCGCCACAGCCTGGAGGAGCACTGCTGCGGACTCCGCCATCCAACTGCATCTGCTGCTGCGGGCGGGGCCTCTCTGTGTCCCATGGACAGGCTGTGAACCAGGGAGGAGCTTGGCAGGACTGCAGCCCAGCCGGGCCTCCCAGGGTCCTGCAGGCCTGCCCAGAGCCTGCTCCACCTGGCACGGGGACGGGTTCAGAAGGAGCAGCCCCGGGGGGCCCAGGCCAGGTCCCTGGACCGTAGCTCTAGGCAGACATGAGTGATGGCCTGCAGAGGGCCAGGCCAAGGCTCCCACCTGGCTTGGTCCCTCTGCATAAGGGTGGAGGGTGCACTCGGGCTTGGAACCCCATCACGATACCCCTGGCCCCCACGTGAGGGACCTGGGAGGCTGGACTCTGTCCTGACTTGCAGCGGGACACATCATCCTCCCAGGGCAACTGCAGTGCCCACCCCACCCCACTGCCCCTGTGGCCCTGGGGCATTCTGCTCACATCCCCCCTAACACGTGTGACCCTTCCCGACACGTGTTCTGAACCTCCCAGATGCGGGGCCTGCCCACCCCACGTGCCCATGAGGCTCCTCCCCTGCCTGACCTGGTGTTTGCCAAATGAGAACAAATGAAGTCGCCTCGGCCTGCTCTTCTCACGACGTGCCGGCCTTGCTGGACTGGCTCTGCTCAGCGTGGACAGTGACAATCTGCAAGGCTGACCAACAGTCCTGGGGCCGAGGCCCATGGCTTCTGGGCAGGCCGTCCCTGGGGCAGGGGCAGTGCTAGAACAGGGCTGGCTATGACCCCTAGGGCTCAGAGGATGGGGCATCTGGGGATGGAGGACCAGGGCTTTTTTTTGAGGTTTTTGCCATAGGGCAGAAGAGAGAGAAGAGGAAAGTGAGAAATCAGTCCCCAGGGGGGTGACCATGCCGCAATCCCTTCTCCTCCACTCTCCTCTCAGGGTTGTGGGTGTGCATGTGCCTGGTATGACTTTCAAGCTGATGGGTCTGGGATTTGAACCATGGAGTTGCCATATGGGATCCAGCGCCTCAACCTTCCACAGCACTGGCTGGCCTGCTTGTTATTTTTTTAATGGGTGGGTGTGGGAAGTTCTTTTTATTTTTTTGAGAGGTTTTTGCTATAGGGCGCGTGCGCTCGCCAGACAGACAGAGAGAGACAGAGACAGAAAGCGAGAAATCACCCCCCAGGGGGATGGCCATGCCGCAGTCCCTGCTCCTCCATTCTCCTCTCGGGATCTTGGGCACACACACATGCACCCGGCGTGAGTTTAAGCCACCGGGTCCGGGACTTGAACTGTGGTTGACTACATGGGAGTCCAGTGACATAGCCGTTATGCTAACTGCTGGTCCCGGAAGTTCTCTTTAAGATGGGGCTGGTCATACCCCCGCTGTGTGCCTCAATTCCCCATTGTAAACTGTAGCTACGACTACTGACCTACCTCGCAGGGGCTGTGGGGAGGTGTGAGCTGGTGTTTGTAAGCGCACTGTAAATAAATGTGCTCTGAATGCCACAGAGCAGCCCTGTGTGTGACCAGCCGGCCGGCCCGCTCGCCTGTCCTAGTCCCCAGTGCAGAGGGAGGAACCTGGGCTGGGGTCAGAGACCTGGGTTCTGGCTGGGCCTAGGTTTATTTCACTGATAAGTGGCACAGTGGTGTCAAGGGCATTTCTCATGGCCCTTCCACACCCAGCTGTCGCCTCTACGCAGACCTCTGCAGTCCCCAGGGCAGTCGCCCGCCCAACCCCTGAGACCCCAGAGTGGGAATCTCAGCAGATGCCCCCCCCCCCCCCCGTGGCCCCCCGCGGGGGGGCCCCGTGAGCCCTGGGCGAGGCAGCTGCCCTCTGGGTGCTTCTCCCTGTGAAGTGGGCAGCCTGTCAGCACTGGTGGGACGGGGCAGTGGCACGTGGTACCGGTGCTGAGAGGACTCTGCACACGGCAGAAACGGGAAGAGAGATGCAGCCCTGCTGGGGACAGCACACAGGCTTCCTCGGGCTGGGTGGAGGGACCCGAGCTACCTCTGGCTCTGCCACGCGCCTTCTGTGTGACCTTGGGCAACGCACTTCTGGTCTGGCCTCTGTCTCTGACGAGAGCTGCTCTGTGATGTACTGATGCTCATAACAGACGTCTGGTGTCCGTTTCTCCAGAGGACATAAATGACAAAGGTCGTTCTGATGACCCCGCAATCCAGCATCCTGTAATCTGAGTGAACATGTCACTGCATAGTCCTGGTGCCCTTCACCTCATTCTGTACACACCCGCAAGCCATACCTGCTGGGCCACAGACATGTGACACAGACTCTAGACAGTAGGAAGTGACGCTTTGACCAATAGAATTCGACAGGAGTGGCGGCCTGGGAGTTCTGGATCCCAGGTCTTAGGAGGCCCTGAGTTGTACCCCTGCCCCTGGAGCCTGCTCTTAAGGAAGGCCATCTAGCCTGCTGGATGGTGGGAGTGCACCTGGGGGAGGAACAGCTCCTCCCACGAGCAGACAGCAGCTGCCAGAACTGGGAATGCAGCTTCCAGCCCAACCAGCCTGTCGGGTGAGTACAGCCGTCTGAGCTACGAGGAATTGCCCAGCCAGCCTCCTCACCCAGGAAAGATAATAAATGGTTCTTTCTCTTAATGGGATCTTTGTTACGCACCAGAAGCTGACTGATACACATGCACTCTGGGCAGAGCTGATACGCTTTTCCTTTTCCTTTTTTTTTTTTTTTGAATTATTTAACTTTATTTATTTTAATTTGACCACAGAGGGACAGAGAGAGAGAGAGAGAAAGAGAAAGCAAGCCGCCGGGTCTGGGACACGAACCATGGTCAGCCGTGTGGGAGTCCACGCCACCTACCTGCCCCTGCGCTTTTCCCTTTTGTCTTACAAGGTGTTGAGCTCCAAGGCTTGCCATGGAGCTGGTGCTGGGCTTGGATGGCATGAGGTGGAGAGGAAGGAGGGTGTGAGGGCTGCCGCCTACCTGAGCAGTGGTCTGCGGAACCTTTCAGAGGAGCTGGGAGGAGGGCTGTGTATTGGGAGGAGCACCAGCTGCAGGACGGACAAGCCAAGTCCTCCCCTCCCCTCCCCACCCCAACGTCATACCTCTGGTGACTTCGCGCAGTCCTGCACCCCGAGGCTCTGCTTTAATCCCGAGATAAACTTGATGCGCCTGGCAGGATGGGTCTGAGTGTAGAGGCGGAGTGTTTAGGAAGAGCTGGCACAGCCACTGGTGATTTCTGTCAGCTGTGAAGTCCCTGCCTTCGCTCGGCACCTGCTGCTGTCATAGGCCGCACACCTTTACCCCCCCCCCCCCCCCCCCCCCCCAGCTCTCCACCCAGGGACTGCCACCCAATTTGGAATGAGGGGTGGGGGCTCACCATCACTTGGCCATCATGTGGCAGCACTGGGACATGAACCCACGTGTAGGCTCACATCAAAGCCTGGGGCTTCTCTGCTGTTCATGTGTGTGTGAGAGCGAGAGACTGAGGTTGGTTTTTGTCAGGTCCTTGCAATGTCGGGATCCCTGCTGAGCCTCCCAGCAGTGGGATAAAGGGGCTGCCACTCACTCACCCTGTTTTAGGGTTGGGGAGGCCAGATCCGGGCCTCTGTGGGACCCCAGCCTGCACCAAGGCCGCTGGGCCAGCCTGGGTGTTAACTGCACTGCTCTGCTTGGCTGGCTGTCTGTCTGGTGTCAAAAGCTCAAGGACACCCTTGGGGCCACCCCAGATGGGTGACCTGTGGCCTGGGCTTGGGTTTTCAAATGCTGTGAGATCAGAAAGGATGCTTGGACAGGTGGCCTGGAGCACAGGAAGAGAACAGTTCTGCTGGGCTCTGCCCAGGGCCTTGGCTGAGCAGGCACAGGGTGGAAGGCCCCCTGGGGGCCAGATCCTGACAGACAGGACCTCCAGTGCACAAACTGGACCTCCACAGCAGACAGGGCCTCGACTGCAGACAGGACCTCCACTGCACAGACGGGACCCCCACTGCACAGAGGGGACCTCCACTGCAGACGGGACCTCCACTGCAGACGAGACCTCCACTGCAGATGGGACTTCCACTACAGACGGGACCTCCACTGCACAGACAGGACCTCCACTGCACAGATGGGACCCCCACTGCACAGAGGGGACCTCCACTGCACAGACGGGATCTCCACTGCAGAGGGGACCTCCACTGCAGATGGGACTTCCGCTGCAGACGGGACCTCCACTGCACAGATGGGACCTCCACTTCACAGACGGGACCTCCACTGCAGAGGGGACCTCCACTGTAGCTGGGACCTCCACTGCACAGAGGGGACCTCCACTGTAGCCAGGACCTCCACTGCACAGAGGGCACCTCCACTGCACAGACTGGACCTCCACTGCACAGACTGGACCTCCACTGCAGAGGGGATCTCCACTGCACAGAGGGGACCCCCCACTGCAGATGGGCAGCACCTGCTACTGCCAGGACTAATTGTTGCATGGGTGACCATGAAGCTGGCTATAGGAGTGGCGAAGCAACCATGACTCCTCATGACCCTTCTGCCACCCCAATAGGTCATGTATTCCAGGTCCCCATGAGAAGCTGTGACCAGTGGAAGCTGAGGCCCTGCTGGGCCCTACTCAAGAGCAGGCCTGGCTCCTGCCATCGGCCCCGCCTCCCTCCCTGTGCCGGCCCCGATGGACAGGAGCTTGATGGGCTTGGCCTGGGCACCTGGCGGCTCAGGGCGATTGGAGTGGTGGTGTTGCAGAGACCAGGTCAGCGGGTGGGGTGAGGCTCGGTCCTGGGGTGTACAGTGAGGGCCTTGACGTGTGGCTGTGATGGAGCAGAGCTGTCTGCTCTCCAGGGACTCTGAGGATCATTGACTGTAGGCCGCAGACAGACTGGACCTCCACTGCAGAGGGGATCTCCACTGCACAGAGGGGACCCCCCACTGCAGATGGGCAGCACCTGCTACTGCCAGGACTAATTGTTGCATGGGTGACCATGAAGCTGGCTATAGGAGTGGCGAAGCAACCATGACTCCTCATGACCCTTCTGCCACCCCAATAGGTCATGTATTCCAGGTCCCCATGAGAAGCTGTGACCAGTGGAAGCTGAGGCCCTGCTGGGCCCTACTCAAGAGCAGGCCTGGCTCCTGCCATCGGCCCCGCCTCCCTCCCTGTGCCGGCCCCGATGGACAGGAGCTTGATGGGCTTGGCCTGGGCACCTGGCGGCTCAGGGCGATTGGAGTGGTGGTGTTGCAGAGACCAGGTCAGCGGGTGGGGTGAGGCTCGGTCCTGGGGTGTACAGTGAGGGCCTTGACGTGTGGCTGTGATGGAGCAGAGCTGTCTGCTCTCCAGGGACTCTGAGGATCATTGACTGTAGGCCGCAGTGAAGCCCGGGATGTAGGTTCAGTTGTGGTCCCTATGTTATGGATGAGGAGACTGAGGCTCCGGGAGCTTGAGCTCCATGCCCTGGTCAGAGCCCTCGAGTGTCCCATGAATAGCCGGGACCAGAGCAGCCCTTTGAGAATGACGGGCCGAGCTGCTCCCGCCAACACCCCTGCTCCACGTGGAAGAGCCAGCTCCTCGTCCCCAAGGCTGGCAGCCCGCGCTCCTGCTGCTCTGCTTCATCTCTGCTCTGCGGTGTGAGTTCTTTGCCGTCTCTGTGTGGCTACCTCTTGCTGGAGTCTGGGTCCCAGCTCCCAAGTCCCCTCCCTGAGAGGCCTGACTTGCATGCCCTGGAGTGGTCCCCGCTCTGCTGTCCTTGTCACTCAGCCTCCAGGTCTGCCCCTCGCTGCTTTCTCACTGACTAGCTGTTCATTTGTTGTCACTACCTCCCATGGGCAGAGCAGTGAGCCAGCGGGGGCCACACGGGTCTCGCGGGTCTTGTCCTGTGTCCTCCGGCCTGTTCCTGGGCATTCGTTGCATGAGTGGAGGT